GTCTTTGCAGAACTTTATGGCCATCCGTAACAATATATACTACTTTCAATATGAAGCCCTAACTCTTATTTATTTCTTTAAAAATTCAAAATTGGCCTTAAATCACTCTATTATAATATTTTCTGAAAACGTAATCTTAAAAGATTTCTCTGTCTTGGATGGAATGGTGAAGAGGGGGGGCGGTGGCGGCGGGGGGGGGGGGGGGGGGCTGTGGCTCAGTGGCAGAGCATCTGCTCAGCCTGCAGAGGTCCCAGGTTCGATCCCCACCATCTCCAGCTAACAGGGTCAGGCGTTGATGTGAAAGATCTCTGCCTGAGACCCTGGAGAGAAATGGGCAGCCTAAGTAGGCAGGACTGATCTTGACAGAACGATGGTTGGATTCAGTATGAAGCAGCTTCATGTATCACAACAGACTATAAGGTGGGTCACTCCAGTAACCTCATCTTCATTTCATTTTTTCATCTCTTCAGAATTCCTTTTTTTCATTTCAGGGGGGAAATGGGTGGGGTGGGGGAGGGAGATGCACACATATGCTAACGTTTAGAGAGTGGCCTTGTAGTAAGGTAAAGGTAAAGGTTCCCTTGCTCGAAAGCCAGTCGAATCCGACTCTAGGGTTGCGGTGCTCATCTCCGTTTCAAAGCGGAAGAAGCCAGCGCTGTCCGAAGACGTTTCCGTGGTCATGTGGCCGGCATGACTAAACACCAAGGCACACGGAACGCTGTTACCTTCCCACTGAAGTGGTACCTATTTATCTACTTGCAATTTCTTGCTTTCGAACTGCTAGGTTGGCAGGAGCTGGAACTAGAGATGGGAGCTCACTCCATCATGCGGCACCCGGGTCTCGAACTGCTGACAGCCTGCAGTTCAGCGTCTTAGCCACTTGAGCCACCGCAGCTCCTTGTAGTAGATATGGCTTAAAAGTGGGCCTTACATCTGAAAATGATAAGGACTCCTGAGCTAAAATATACCGGTCATGAGGTTGCCTGCATGCTGGACTTTTTCTTCTGTAATACTACTGCATTGTTATCGGTGGCGGAAGGAGCCGTCAAGTTTCTGCCAACTCATGGCGACCCTGTAGGATTTCCAAGGCAAGAGATGAACAGAGGTGGTTTGCCATTGCCTGCCTCTGCACAGCAACCGCGGACTTCCTTGGTGGCTTATCCATCCAAGTACTAACCAGGGCTGACCTTGGCTTAGCTTCCAAGATCTGACAAGACTGGGCTAGCCTAGATTATTTACCGTATACAATTTCTTTGCACTGTTTTTAACTGCGTAATCTGTCTTGATTCCCAGTAGACTACAAACGAAGGAGGGAAACGAGGAAATAAAATGACGACACAGAAGGGCACTGAAGACTGGGGGAAATCTGTTAGCCCGAATCAACTGAAACATTTATCACTTTGTTTCTCAATGGAGGATTAAATAAAACCCCCTCAATATCCCTCCTGATGGCCCTGTGCCTATCAGTAGGGCAGCAAAATGGGTCCGTTAACAGAAAAGGCAGAGGTTTAAGCAGATTCCCCAAATTTCTCAGATATGCAGAAAAAGATTAGCTTGTAAATTAAATCATCTACTAGCTGCCCCTTCCATCCACACCAACATGAGCACTCTCTGGGAGCCATGGAAAGTTGGGTGTGTGTGTGCTTGTCAGTTAATTAGAGGGAACACTGCTAGCTGCCCCTTCCATCCACACCAACATGAGCACTCTCTGGGAGCCATGGAAAGTTGGGTGTGTGTGTGCTTGTCAGTTAAAGGAAAAGTAAAGGAAAGCAGAGATGGAAGGCGAAACACCTATCAAACCCTTGGCAGCTTATAGTCTTCTAGAATGGGAGGCTGAGATCAGGAAATGCAAGCCATGAGGCAACCTTGAGCCTATCTCCCTGCTATTCCAGGATGCTACAAGCTTTTAAGTCAAGAGAATCCAGGGGGTGGGGGCGGTTGATTAGACTTGGAGGTCTCCAGTCCTAACTAATAATCTCTTAAGGATTACTGAGGAGGGAAGGGAGCAGGGTATAGCCTGATATCGTCAGATCTTGAAAGCTAAACAGGGTCGGTGTTTGGAAGGGAGACCACCAAGGGAGATTCTGTAGAGGAAAGTAATGGCAAACCACCTCTGCTTCTCACTTGCCTCGAAAGCGCCTTGCTGGGGTTGCCACAAGTTGGTTGCAACTTGATGGCACCTATGTACATAAGGACTCCTGACAGGGCAGAGCACCTAACAGGTTACAGAATTCTGGAATACAGCATGAAGTTATTTTTGGGAGATACATGTCCCAATCAATGTTCCCTCTAAGCTATGGAATCTTGTGAGCAAAAACTCTACTTTGGTGAGCAACTGGCACTAAAGCTGTGAGCTAGCGGTTTGGCCGCGGCATAAATTATTTTGCTCCGGAGCCACATCCTTCCTGAGCTAAGACGAAAATGTGTGAGCCGGAGGCTAAAAAACTGTGAGCTAGCTCTCACTAACTCAGTTTAGAGGGAACACTGGTCCCAATCCCAATTCCCCACCATCACAAATAATCCTTCCCCCAACAGCGGAGTGGGGGGAGGTTAAAAAATCATCTCTTCCATGCTCAGTTAAGGTTCAGGGGCCGATAAACATCTGCCTACTTAGTAAGACCACGGGACAATGGAGCCACACTGGTAGATTTCTGATGGACTAAATTCGTGGGAAACTATTCAACTGGCACTGGAGCTCAGAAGCCTCATGCTAAATGATGGAAGTGGGGATTTCCCGATGACATACCCTCCCATTTCCTTGCAAGCCCCCAATGGGTTGGGAAACCACCAAGGAAGACTGGTGCTGCTACGCAGAAGGTGGCAATGGCAAACAACCTCTGCTCCTCTCTTGCCTTGAAAACCCCACAACGTGGAACTTCTTAGGGCTGCCACGAGTTGGTTGCAATTCAATGGCACACTTTACCTCCAATCGATGAATTAATTAATTTCATTTGTTTACAAAATCTGTATCCTGCCTTTCTGCCCTTACAAGGGCTGCCACATTCGCTAACAATTTAAAACACAATGCAAAAAAAATAAAATAATTAAAATCATTAAAATCCCCCTGCACACATCATTAAAACAATAAAAAATAATTAAAATACATACAAAACATTCAAAACAGCAAATAAAACACTGATTAGAAAGGATCGTTGAGGTAATGCTAAATGAAACAAAAAAAGTCTTCACACACTGGTGGAACACAGAAAAAGAAGGGCAGAGATAAATCTCCCTGGGGAGAGAGTTCCAGAGCTTTGGTGCCATGACCGAAAAGGCCCTCTTCTTGGGTTGCCACTTGTCTAACCTCAGAAGGGGAGGGATCTGAAAATGACCGTAACCGTCATCATTTAATCATTCCAATCAGTGTTTATTTTTTAAAAACAATGAACCTTATCTCCAGCTAACTCATCACAACCACAAATAGCAGAAAGCCCTGGTTGGTATAATTGCTTTGCAACCAGTTTTGCAGATCTTGGATTATGTTTTCAAACACACACCAGGTTCATCCCTCTAAACGAAAGGGAGTGTTTCGGGAGGGAATCACTTACCGACTAGATTTAAAAGTGGCAAGCTTCGATTTTAATCTTAACTGCTGTAAAATATGAATAGCACCTTGTGTGAACTGACATCACAATTAAGCAGGGGAGTCTCCCTTCAAGGAGTTGTCGACACTGCAAAAATTATTGGACAGCACCACTCAAACGCTAATGAAACAGCGGCAAATAAATGATGGGCTTTTAGGCCGCGGGATGGATTAAGGAGTTACTGGCCTTGTTGAGCTCTCTTCTAATTTTCTCAGGCGCAAACTGATCAAGGAAACGTCTGAAATGAAATGCGTCTATGGCCACAATTTCAGTGCAGCGCCTCTGCCATTCATCCCTAAAGTGAGGAGACGAGGGAGGGGAGGGGAAAGGGAGAAAGAGAGAGACAGACAGCAAAATTAACTGTGATAACATTGCTCACATAAAACAAGCCTGAAAACGACTTCCTCTCTCTAAGGCTTCAGCAACAGTGAAACGGGGAGAAATAATGTCAGGGAAACGCAATGCTGCAATACATCATGGCTGAACTGGGTCAAGGGGTGTGTGTGTGGGGGAGACAGACATGGCGGCTCCCACAAGTCTACAAATAACATTTGTAGCACAGTGTAAATGTCACGGCTCAAATGTCAAGTCACAGGTGAGGTATGATATAATCATAGGAGTCTCGGGAAGCCTAAGAAAAATCCAACATTGTTTTCCATTTGACATGCTTCTCTAGTAAAGGGGGCACCGTTTAAATGTTTAGAGAACCGTCACTTTCTCCTAGACTTTGTGCTCTGAAATCATACCCACTAACTCTCTGCTTTGTATGGGTGAAAGCACGTTACCATGGTGCCTACGTCAGATACTTGCTTCACATGTATTGTTATTATCAGGGCTTTTTTTGTAGAAAATCCCAGTAGGAACTCATTAGCATAATAGGCCACACCCAGCAGCAGAAACTCATTAGCATATTAGGTCACACCCATGACATCACAGCTCATTAGAATATTAGGCCACACACCCCATGTTACCAGAAGTGTGGTCATCCAGCCACACCCACCTTTTGCTTCTTATTCTGTTTACCTTGTTTGTGGTCAAAACCCAGGGCCTATTTTTGTAGCAGGAACTCCTTTGCATGTTAGGCCACACACCCCTAATGTAGCCAATCCTAATGAGTTTATGCTGTTGGGTGTGGCCTATTATGCTAATGAGTTCCTGCTGGAGGAGCCAGCCGGAACTCCGTTCCTGTGTGTTCCTGCCCCAAAATAGCCCTGGTATTATCTTTTGTTATTATTTATTTACTTTATACCCCTCCCTATCCCACCAATGGGTTCAGGACGGCTTACTCCCTTGTCTCAGAGACAGGCCCTATATAAAAGTTCTCCTGCCTTTTCAGGCACGGATCAGTAACACTCTCATGTATTTCTGAAGGTGGAAAAGAGGCTTGCGCACTACCAAACAAGCACCTGGAATTGTTCTCTAAGCTCAGAGTCTCAAACTCAAGGTGTGAAAGGCGGGGGAGAATATACAGAATCTCATGCCAAAGGCTGAACTGGGAGTTCAGTGTGTGGATTGAAAAACCTTCATGCAATGTTCCCTCTAAGCTGTGGAGTCTTGTGAGCAAAATTGTTACTTTGTGAGCTCCTGGCATTAAAGTTGTGAGCGAGTGATTTGGCTACTGCATAAATTAGCTTGCTCTGGAGCCCTCCTCCCTGAGCCAAGACAAAAATCTGTGAGCTGAAGGCTAAAATTCTGTGAGCTGGCTCACAGTAACTCAGCTTAGAGGGGACACTGGCTGGGACCAGGTACAGACTGAGAAGATGGCTGTATAAACCGGGGTCAGCCCCCAGATTTGCACAAATTTTTATACACACACACACGGAAGAAACGACTAATCCTCGTTCCGAGGTCTTGCCTGCCATTTTGAGGTTTGTCGAACACCCCTATAAACAGTACAAGCCAGCGAAAGTGGTTGGGAGGCAATGCCGTGGCCGGTACAAAGCAAAGGGGGAAAGGAAAGAACAGCTGAGTGGGCCAGGCAAGCAGAGGTGGCAGTGCTGTAGAATGCCGTGGCCGGTACAAAGCAAAGGGGGGAAGGAAAGAACAGCCGCAGCACCCTGCCACTGCGTGAGCCAGGCAAGCAGAGGTGGCAGTGCTGTAGCCAGGGGGGCCGTCCAGAAAGTGGCTAGCCCAGTGAGCCAGTGGGGATGGGACATCCCCCTCCAAATTTCATGGGGCCCCACTTGTAGAAGAAGAGAAGACTGGATTTATACCCCGCCCTTCACTCGGAGTCTCAGAGCGGCTTACAAACTCCTTTCCCTTCCCCTCCCCACAACAGACACCCTGGGAAGTGGGTGAGGCTGAGAGAGCTCTGACACAAACTGCTCTTTTTCAAGGACAGCTGTGCCAGAGCTTGTGACTGACCCAAGGTCATCCAGCCAGGTGCAAGTGGAGGAGTGGGGAATCAAACCCGGTTCTCCCAGATTAGAGTCCGCACACTTAACCACTACACCAAGAAGAAGAGGAGATTGGATTTATACCCCACCCTTCACTCAGAGCGGCTTACAAACTCCTTTTCCCTCCCCCTCCCCACAACAGACACCCTGAGAGGTAGGTGGGGCTGAGAGAAATGGCTCTTTTTCAAGAACAGCTCTTATCAGAACTACGGCTTGCCCAAGGTCATCCAGGCAGGTGCGAGTGGAGGAGTGGGGAATCAAACCCGGTTCTCCCAGATTAGAGTCCGCGCACTTAACCACTACACCAAACTGGCTCTCCTTGTACTATGCCGATGTAATTCTCAGTGATTTGAAGCGAGCTTGCACCAATGGAAAACTCTTGAAGATCTAGTAACACGTTTCATGGACTAAAACATCAAAGACACTTCTGTGTAAGAATTTTACCTTGGTGTTTCATCTTCATGACTTCTGGCCCATCGGTATGTTTCTGCATAGCCAGTATATTCACTGTATTGCTCTGAACCTGAAATAAATACGTTTCATAATATATTAGCTGATGTTAAACATGTTTCCTGAGTACATTCTTTTCGCTTTGTAGAGAGGCCTCCCTCTTCTGACCGCTTGAGCCGCGCCTTCATTAATGCTGACAGTATAGCTGCTGAGGGAAGACACAGTCATCCAAATAAGAACAGCATCTTATGCAAAGTCAAAATCTGTGCAAAAGAACTCTCACCAAGGAAGCTGCAAAGTCAAGTTGTTATATTAGGTCAGTCAACATCGTCATCATAATATACATATAACACACATATAAAACACCAACGGAAATCTTTCTTTCCATCTGAAAATATGCTCTGTGGAATCCAACCCAGGGTCTGTAATTTTAGTTTGGAGGAGAAGCGCTGGCCAGGATGTAATAGCAAACGGTCACTGACTCCCACCTTGTGTGGGGAGGGAGAGAGAAAGCAAGAGGGGCACAGGCCTCATTCACATAGCAGCAAACCAGAGTGTTTCAAGGTAGTCCAGGGTTTTTTTTTAGTTATCGGAGGACAAGAATTTAAAAGGGAAACAGAACACACATCTCCACAACTTGAGTTTGGTGTGCAAATTATCTTCCTTGCTTAAATTCATGTAACCGCTCTGCCCTGTTTATCTGGCTATCTAGGACGACCGGTTGGCCACTCTGTGAAACAGTATACTGGGCTAGGTGGACCACTGGCCGGATGTGGCAGGCTCTGCTTAGAAGAAGATGATATTGGATTTATACCCCGCCCTTCCCCTCCCCACAACAGACACCCGGTGAGGTAGGTGGGGTTGAGAGAGCTCTTTCCAGAGCTGTCCCTCAGAGAACAGCTCTGACAGAACTACGGCTTGCCCAAGGTCATCCAGCAGCTGCAAGTGGAGGAGTGGGGAATCAAACCCGGTTCTCCCAGATCAGAGTCCACATACTTAACCAGACTGGCTCTCAGGTTCTTATCTCAGATGCTGCCCTGACCTATGGTTTCTAATTTCAAAATCCATGACACAGAGCAACCCTGTCCCTATAGGAAGGAAGGAAAAGTAAAACGTATGCACCAAACACTCCACATCAATGACACTGCAGTTTCTCCCTAGCAACGGCCACTGAGGGCAATTGTTTCATAAAGTTACAGGTACTGCTGCTATTATTTTGGGGGGACTTTAGCCACCCATTTTGGTTTGTTTGTTTTAGATTTCAGATTTGGCCACATTGAGAATTAGATATACTGAGCACAATAACAACAGTAAATGTAATCAATAACAACAAAAAAGGAGTCCAGTGGCATCTTAAAGTCTAACAAATTTTTGTTGCAGGGGACTGCTTTTACTTAACATCATATCTTACAGAAAAAAATTAGCGTGGCACAGGGGCAGCGGGCATGGCTTAGTCATAGAGCATCTGTTTTCTGTGCAAAAGGTCCCAGGTTCAGTCCCCGGTATCATCAATTACAAGGATGAGGAAGTAGATGATGAGAAAGACTTTGCCATGGAGAGCCTGTGGCAGAATTGGCCTTGAGAGACTGGTGGCGGTGGCGTTGACTCGGGCACCATCAGATATTTGTGTGTGACGCAGAATGGTGGTGGCAGGGCTCTTTTTGTAGAAAAAGCCCAGCAGGAACTCATTAGCATTATAGGCCAAACCCAACAGCAGGAACTCATTAGCATATTGGGCAACACCCCTGACAGCACAGCTCATTAGCACATTAGGCCGCACCCACATGTTCCCAGAAGTGTGGTCATCCAGCCACACCCACCTTTTGCTTCTTATTCTGTTTACCTTGTTTGTTGTCAAAACCCAGGGCCTTTTTTTGTAGCAGGAACTCCTTTGCATGTTAGGCCACACGTCCCTAATGTAGCCAATCCTAATGCGTTTCTGCTGTTGGGTGTGGCCTATTATGCTAATGAGTTCCTGCTGGGCGTGGCCAACTTGGGAGCCAGCCGGAACGCCGTTCCTGTGCGTTCAAGCCCAAAAATACCCCTGGGTGGTGGTATAGGTCATGTATAGCAGGATGCTTTTTGATAAACTTTCCAACCTGTGGTTTAGAAACTGGTCCTCAAGTTCTTAAAATGAGAGGGAAATGTGCTTTCTTTCTCTGCTGATTATTCTGAGCTCATCAGAGAGCTTCAAGTGCCTAGACAGTGAACCTTTTCTGGCCTTCTATCCCAGTCAAGCATGACAGCCCCCTCCTGTTTCAACACGGCAGCCAGCAAATTATCATAAATGCTAACCAAGCATTCTGCTCGTTGTTTCACCCCTACCCCCTCCCCACGCCACAATTCTGCAAAGCCTGTTTTATTCACTCCGGGTCTTGTCAAGCGTGTTCCGCATTCATTAAGGTATTCTAGCTTTTCAATATATGCTCATAGAGGGAGGTTTGTTTTTTTGGGGGGGAGGGTGATAGAAAATACTAAATAATGGGTTTAAGCAACCAGCTGGACAACTTGTTCACTGCTCAGCCCCAGTTCATAATTTCAGAATTCTTCCACCATGGAGGAAACAGGTGTTCCATGTTGATTCCTGATTTCTCAAAGGGACCTACTTCTGCAATGTTTTCCTCCCTGTATTCCTTCCACATTCACAAGGGGAAATTTAAAAGGGGGTTGGGACAAATGATCCCGTTTAATCACATTCCTTTATTCAGGCTTCCTAAAATACGCAATAGAAATTGCCTCACAAAAGAAACACCACAACACATTTACCGTGATACCTCATAAAGAGCACCCCCCCCCTTGAACCCTCCTTCAAAGCCCAGGAAAGCATAAGTGACCTGGTCATGATTATGTGCTGCTTCCAAAGGCTTTATTTTATTCAGAGAGAAAAAGGGTTCGGAAACGTGGCAAAACAGAAAGCAAGAATGGGCAGGGGGAAGGCGGTAAAAGACAGATATAGAAGAAGAAGAAGAGATTGGATTTATACCCCGCCCTTCACTCGGAGTCTCAGAGCGGCTTACAAACTCCTTTCCCTTCCCCTCCCCACAACAGACACCCAGTGAGGTGGGTGGGGCTGAGAGAACTCTGACACAAACTGCTCTTTTTCAAGGACAGCTGTGCCAGAGCTTGTGACTGACCCAAGGTCACGTCAGTAGGTGCAAGTGGAGGAGTGGGGAATCAAACCCAGTTCTCCCAGATTAGAGTCCGCACGCTTAACCATTACACCAAACTGGTCTGAGAGCAAAAGAAGTTTATGGAATGCGGTGAAGCACCCAGACAGAAAGGTGCCTGATGAGGGGCTCAGTCAAGCGCGGCCTGGAGATCTCCGAGGAGAGCCCACTTGGCCCAGACTTCCCTGCCCATCTCACATCCGTTTACAGTTCTTGTCAACTAATAGCAGGCAGGCTGCATTTATAGTGAAGTTTGCCTGGAGCTGGACAGAACAAGAGAAATCGGGATAGCATAAGAACATAACATAAGAGACGCCAATGTTGGATCAGGCCAAAGGCCCATCCAGTCCAACACTCCGTATCCCACAGTGGCCAGAAATACCAGTGCCATCAGGAGGTCCACCAGTAGGGCCAGGACATTAGAAGCCATCCCACTGTTGACACCCCCCCCCAGCACCAAGAAGACAGAGCATCACTTGTCCTAGAGCCCCTATCTATACCTTGTGGCTAATAGCCACTGATGGACCTCCATATGCCTATCTAATTCCCTTTTGAAGCTGTCCATGCTTGAAGCCACCACCACCTCCTGTGGCAGTGAATTCCAGGTGTTAATCACTCTTTGGGTGAAGAAGGACTTCCTTTTATCCGTTCTAACCCGACCGCTCAGCAATTTCATGGAGTGCCCACGAGTTCTTGTATTGTGAGAAAGGGAGAAAAGTACCTCTTTCTCTACCTGCTCTTTCCCATGCATAATCTTATAAACCTCAATCATGTCACCCCTCAGTCGTCGTTTCTCCAAGCTAAAGAGCCCTAAGCGCCTTAACCTTTCCTCACAGGGAAAGTGTTCCAACCCTTTTATCATTCGAGTTGCCCTTTTCTGCACTTTTTCCAAAGCTACAATATCCTTTTACCTTTTACCAAGCTATAATATCCTTTTACAATCCTTCTACCATCAAACACATACTTATATGCAAGAGGAAAGAGTCCTCTCTTTGATGCTAGGGATCAATAAGAAAGGATATCCCTGTTTGTGACTGAATATGAACTGTCACATCTCTCTCCCCTGCCAACGCAACCCAGGGAACCTGAAGAATAACAGAACACGTGCAAATGCCTAGAGAAAACCAGAGTTTGTCAGCATCAAGGGTGGATAGTTCATGTGGCATCTGTGTACAGCCCATGGGAGTCTTCCTGGGGTTTCGAGAACTACAGCATTAAAGCTCCTTGGCATTCTGATTTTTTATTTAAATTAAATTTTACACAGTACTCTGAAAATATGTGAAACTGCCCAGAATATTGTAAGGTAAAAAAAGTAGGACCTGAGAGACTC